TTTTTTTTTTTTTTTTTTTTTTGAGCAGTGTACATAGAAAAGCGGGCGATTTTGCATTTCAGAGGAGAGTAAAAAGGAAATTCATACATTTTGTACGAGTTCGAAAGGCCAGGAAGAAAGATAGGAGAAATTAAATTTAAAATAAATGGCTCAAAAAAATTAATAGAGGAGAAGAGGGAAAAAAAAAAAAGAAAAAAGGCCTATAGAAAGAAAAGGAAGGGAAATAGAAAATATCCTAAAATACGATTGTCTCCATGAGTGTAGTAAAAAAAAAAGCTATGTACATTTACAATAAATAGTGTCTCACAAGTGTGTGTAGTGAGTATGTTTGGTAAGGCTGAATAGATGTAATGATGGGAAAAGAGTGGTATCAATTAAGTTCGTATCAAAATATTTAGCATGGAATACAATGCAATATGTATGCTTTCATCCTAAGACAAAACAGCAAAAGATCCGTAACATCAGACGAAAGTAAAAATTACTTTAACTAAAGTAACTTTAGCTATTACCGTTAACAACATTTTCATACATTTTTCAAAAACCAGCAGCAGGCAAAAAACATGGAATCCATAAATACAAACCACCACAACCACATACACCCAAAAAAAAAAAAAAAAAAAATATAAAAAATATATAATATATATTTATAATGTATTAACAAATTAAACCAGTATTTATTAATTTAACTATCATAATTTATTACAAGTTTACTTATTATCAGTTTACTATCAAATTTATTACTTGTTAATTAATGTTAATTAACACATTGGGACATTGCATTTATATTAGCACATAAATTTAAATTTATTTCAGGCAATGGAGAATAATCCATCCCTCACACTTGGACATTAAACAGATAGCAAAGAACAGTATGAGGGAAAAAAATCGATGAGGTATAATATTTAAAGGCAAAAAAATATTTAAACGATCTGAAAAAAAGAAAAAAAGATCGGAGAGGGAAGTGGCGCATAGCGCAAACTAATATACAGGACGATGCGCAAGATCCCGAGAATTTCCCTGTCGCGAAATTCCTCAAAGTAGGATAAGGAACAACTGTTGACAAACGCGAGCTGATAGCGAACTGAGCTTCTGTTTGGACAAAAAGATCCACAAGCAATGAGCAATTCAAATATTGTTTAACTCTAAAAACTGATGAAAATATAAATTAATTATTCTAAAAGTACTTTTGTAATGGCAATTTGATTTAGTTTAGATGAAATTAGTATACTTATCTCAAAATTCCAGACTTTCGTTGTGTATCCTCACGGTGTCCGCTCTGTCACTCTCATCAACATCGGAGCTGAAAATATCTGGAAAGGGTGTAGATTTTTTTTTTTTTTTTTTTTTTTTTTTTTTGAAAGAAGAAGCTTTTGAAGTGATTTAATGGATAATCACTAAGAGGAGAATATGTTTTGTTCGCTTAGGTTGCTACTTTTGGTAGACGGTTGCAACGGATTTTGGCGATTTTTTTGGCGCTTTTCCTTGGCGAGTAATACAACTTAGGGAAAACCCATTGCTGGATAAGTTATTTATGAACCGATACTTTGTTTCCATTTTATTTAAAAAATACTGCTTTTTATTGTGATAAATTCCGTTTTTAAATATTAAATTTTATGGCTTTTAATATTAAAAAATCAATTTAATTTTGCCATTTTTTTTGAAATAAAAATTTTATTGTTTAATCATATTTTTTATGAAATTTTTTTTGTGGAATATTATCATACGTCACCTTATTTAAAAGTAATTATTTAAATATCTATAAATTTAAATCTAATGTGTTAAACATTATTTAATGGCTGTTAATATAAACACATATTTATTTTTTGCATTTTTTAATATGTTTTATTATGAATGATGGATTTAAATAATTTAATTCTAGGCGGTGATTAATCAGCTTCCTGATTGTACTTAATATTTGTGCTTACAAGCGGCCATTTTAAATTTTATATTCATCTCTTCGATTTCTCAATTTCAAAGCGTATGGATGTGTCCGTTTCGAAGATGAATGTTGTTATTGGTAATTAGCAAGAATTATTGGTATCGGAATAAAAAAATTGCCTTTTGAGACCTTAATTTGGCCAACCTGGATTTCCTAATCAAAAATTTATTTATTATTACAAGGGTTAGAGGAAATTTATTAAAAATGTTTGGAAGAAACCTCGCTAATCGCTTCTTCACTGAAGTGCGAGAGATGTGGATAACAGATGAAGTACGTTTTTTCTTCTGGTACTTATCAATATACGTGAGGTAAAATAGTTAAAAAAATATAAGTACATATTTTTCTTTTACTTTATTGTATACTTCAATTCTTATTAAAAAATTAATACACTGTTTTCGAAAATTCCTGAGATATTCGTTGCCAATGTTTAATGTATAAAATAAAACTATAAAGTATTTGAATTTTAATTCTTTTATTCTTTTTAATTCCATATTAATTTTTAATATTTAATCAATTAAATTCCAATTTTTTATGGGTGTTTTTATTCTACTATATGAAAGTAATAATTTACCTTACTTTAGCATTTTATACTCTTAGTAATGTATTTATTTACATTGCCAGCCATCTTAAAAAAACAACGTTTTCAAAAAAAATTAATTCATTTTTAACATTTATTTTTTTAAAGTTTCGAACTTACTATATGCGTGAATACGTAAAAACACAGTTTTCAAGATGGCTGACGACTGTAAAAACCGCGCCAACAATTGCGCCAATGTAAATCGCCAAAAATCCGTGCAACCGTCTACCAAAGTAGCACCGTTCCTTATTACGGAGCGCTGCGAACGTTCGGCCGTTTTCCTCGGTAATCGCACCGCTCCCTCAATACAGAACTAAATTAAACAGTAATAAATATCAATATGCGGTATGCGAAAATACTATCTTTTATTTATATTGACAAAAACATCTTTGAGTTAAAGCTATTCAAACATAAAATAATTCTGGGTTCAAACCTCAGATGAAAAGGAGTATTACAATTCAAAAGAATTCTTCTTCGAAATATTTTGAACATTTTGTACAACTTTGCATTTTTTTTACTTTTATTCAAAAAAAAAAAAAAAAACAGGAGCCATACTTACCGGATGCAATGTAATATCATCTAAAGAAAAAGAGAAAAAGAGCATAATTTTACCATATAATGACTAAAATCACTTCAGTTAGCTTAATAAATTAAGAAGTTTTAAATTAATACGCCATTCGTTAAATTTAATAAACCGAAAATCGTATTAAATTCTAATCATATGAAATTCGTGTTTTATCTTTGTTACACACTTCAAATAGTAGCTTCCTCGAGATAAATATTCCTATGACAACAACATCGTTTTGAACAGAAAACAAAGTTCAGAAATTCCCTTAGAACTATAAAAAACTCAATTCCTGTTAAAATATTTGCTGCTATTAATGTTTACTATTTATATGACATTTAATGAGGCTGAAAATTTTTTAATTCCGCAAGCTTCTACAATTTTTAACGTGAACGAATTTTTACCCATAACCGTATGACTATTTTTTTTTTTTATGGGGTCTGTTTGTTTACGTTAATTGTCGATATCTTTGCAGGAAAGACCGGAAAATTGTATATGCATTTCCTTCCAATGTAAATGCAAAATAGGAAATATTTAAAATATTTTGCATGTTTGTTCGGTATAAAGCTACCTCATAAGTGAGTACTTCCTCAAGGCTGTGTTTATACTTCACAATGTTTATGTTTTCGAGAAAAAAAAAAATTTAATCTGTTGTTGCATTTTTCTTTTTAGATGTATATTGTTAAAGGGGTTCATATTTATTTATGAAAGCATGTATACATGTTTAAAAAGATACAACTGTTTACTGTTATTTAACTGAAAGAAAATGATGCACGTTCTCTCTAACAATTTTTTAGAATGAAATCATTAAACATAACTATTGTATTGCAAGAATGAAATACTCATGATAAAAACTGAAAAACGAAACTAAACCTTTAACCAGATATAAAAGCTGTGTAGGATGCAATTAAAAGAAAAGTTTTCTTTCTTTTTTTTTTTCGGGAATGTGTTCAAAAGTAGAGAATAAATGAGCATGAGCATGAAAATTTTTTTATTCCTGTTTTCATTAATAATTCTTGAGTTTGGAAGCTAACCTCTCATGTAGATGGATGTGGCTGCATAGTTTGTGTATTTTTTTTTTTATTTTTTTATTATTTATTTATTTTTTTCCACTTGAAATTTGTACGAAATTTTCAGGTGGGCTTTTAATCCGAGTACCATTCGAATAAGTTTCTATTCTCAGTTTAATACATAACTTTAAATCTCAGTGCACTATATTATTATAAAATAGAATGCACCAAAAAGTTTCTTTCTTGGAGATCGCTTAAAAAAGCAAATAAGAGTGTTATATAACGAAGTCCCATTAACTATTTTTCAAACTGTTTTATAAAATTGTCATATTTTTCATAATATATGTGTATTACTTGTACCACTTTTGAAAGGGACAATTTTTTGTATTTATTTATTCTAAATCTGAGGAAAAATATTTTTTCCGTTGTTTTTCCAGGTACCTAGTTAACTTATTATAATGTTTGTTATTTTATGGTGATTTTGAATGACAGCTTGTTCCAAATATTAAAAGGTAAAGTGTTACAGATGGTATTAAAAAAAAAGTATTATTTTCTGATTATTTGCACCCCCCCCCCTTTGAAAAATCTCTAGTGAGTCAGTGATTAATTTTTTCCCAAGCTAATATGTGAAAAGTAACAGCCATTTTAAAAATGGTGGTGCACTGAGAATTCTATAAAAGATCATCAATTCTATAAAATTTAAAAGTCAAGAAGCATCATAATAAAACGCTTACCTTTTTCTAGAAATCCTTATGTAATTTTTCAATTATTGTTATAGCGGAAAAATTCGGTTGTCAGATTTCAATGGAAATACTCATTTTGACTATATTTTTCTGTGATGTTTGTATGTATAGACAGAACAAAGGACTCTATCCCAATGTGGATTGTAAAATAAATTTTTTCATGATGTCTGTATACACATAAAAATGTATTTTGCATAACTAAAAAATTATTATTAGTAAAACATTGAAATTTTGTATATGGGACTGCTATAATATCTAGTTGTGCATCTCTCTCTTTTATTGCAGTTGGCAAAAGTGTACATATATATACAGTCAAAAGTCGTTAATCCGGACTCGTCGGGACTTCGGCGATTCCAGATTATCGATTTTTCCAGATTATAGGTCATCAGTTTAAATCTGGTAAGATGGCATGCGAATTATAAATTAAAACAGAAACCGAATTTATGAATAAGAAAATTATGATCTAAAGGGTATCAGAATTTTTAAAAAGCTAATATTTATTTGTTTACTTTATTAAACGTTCTTCATGAAGTGTTTAGTCTTCTTTTTTTACTGATAATACATTCTCTTTAATTCTATAACGACATAAATTTCTTGTTCAGTTCAAGTTTCCGCTGTTCAAGTCCTATAATTTGTGTCTTCGGACTAATTTGTCATCGAAATTTTTTCGTTTTCAAACCTCTGTTACTTTCTTCGCTATCGAGCGAATTATAATGACGAGGAATTGATTTAAATCATATCAAAGCGGATACATCGAATGAAATCCTACATTTAGTATGAATTAAGCCAAAAAATAAAAACATCGTTGATTTAGCTGATCTTTGGAATATGGTAAAAGGTAGTTTGGCGACATTTTGGACGCGATAAATTTTACTACCTAGGACTTTGGGAATAATGTAAGAAGTACTGAGTTCCGATTACGCATTATTTTGTGTGAGGCAAATGAGAGATCATGAGATGTGCCATGTGACGTTAATGGACGAATCACTGTTCTTTAATGGGAAAAATTGGGATTTTGTATTGGCTTTATTCTGTGGTGTGTGAATAGTGTTTGTGAATTTTTGGATCCATACCGTAGTAAAGTGAATTCGAATGGTATTTATTGTATTGAAAGGATAGTAGAAATTTTTTTAAGGTGTTGAGATATAAAAAACATGTTTTATTATTTTTATTTTACGTGATATCTTCTTTGAAGATAGTTGATTTTAAAGATTCTGAAGAGAAGAAGAAAGTGAATCCGCCACGTAATGAAGATTCTGAGGAGATTGGTAAGTTAGTATTTTGAATATTTTTATGCATTGTTGGAAGTAGGTGGAAGGAATTGTATTATTGGAAATTTTTATTAGCATGATTTAGTTGAAGTAATTAGGATTGTAAGGTAATTTTATTAATGAATGTATGTGCTCATGTTATTTTAATGTGTTTTTGAATTTAATTATATTTAATGAATGATAGTTATTTTGTGAATTATACTTGTAGGATTGGTTGTATTTTTAAGGAAATATGTGCATGAAATAATTTAATATTTGTAATAAATATTTGTAAGCTTCATGTATGATTCGTTAGTGACGGTATAAGTTATAGATGATTTAGAGGTAAAGTTTGGATTTTATTTCTTTTATATGTGAAGTTCTATTTTAAAGTAAATCTTTTTCGCGATCATGTAATTCATATATTTCTTTTACGCGTTTAAAGATTGAAAATTGTCATGTATTTTCTTGAATTTTTTCATTATGAGGTAAAATCAGTGACATGGATATAGTGAAGAGTGTGGCAATGCCATTTTGTCCATTCGATGTTTTTTTTTATAAAATAGTCGACGTGTATGTTCAGTGATGTTTTAATGAAATAGTTATTTTTAATTTATGCTTGTAGAATTTGGTTTGCGTTTAAGTTAATAACGTGCATGAAAAATTTAAATATTGATACTAAATATTTGTATGCTTCATGTTGATTCGTGTGATTTATAATGTAATAGATGATTTAGAGTAAAAGTTTTTGGATATTTTATTATTTTTCTGTGGAATGTCATATTTTCGGTAAATACTTTTCGCAATCATGAATTTCATATATGTTCTTTTTACCGGTTTAAAGAGTGAGAAAAGTGTCTTATTTTTTCTGAAATTTTTTAATTTATGAGGTCAAAGCAGGTACATGGAATAGTGAGAGTGTGTCAGCCTTTTTGTGCAGTTCTGGATGTTTTTTTAAGTAAAAATAATCGGCGTGTACATGGTTATGTGTATGTGTTATTTTGAAAACCTCTAAGGTGTATGGTATTGTGCATTTTTCGAAGTTGCAGTGAATATTGCAGGAGTACGCAGTTTGTTTGCTAAATTTCTAGCATAGTGTAATTCGGCTAGTAGATTGTGGAAGAAGTGTTATAGAAGAAAGAAACTGTCTTTACTTCGTGAGCAAATGGCGCGGGAAAAAAAATCAAGGTTGCTGTATGGAGTTGGTCGCCAATTTGCCACAAAATGCTAATTTACGTAATGTAAAGATCAACCAAAACATATGCCCTTAGATAAGGTAGTGCTGACAGATCAACTTCCAATTCATGCGCGCCCCGCCGCGGCGTTAAAGATAACAAGTTTAGGTAAACTTCGCTTTTTAAGTTTAGAAAACAAAGGATAGCCGTTATCATTTTTTGCAGCATTCACTTTTGTTTATGAACTTCGAATATCTTTCGCTTTGAAATCTTACATATTAGTAATATATCTAAATTCTATTTGACTAATCGAAAGTCAAGCTTACTTTTATAAATTACACTAACAGTTTGCAAAAAATATAGCGATCCAATTTGAAGATTAAGGAAACAATGCAATCTGCACATTAACGATAGATAATTAATAATTTTAGCTTATCTTATCCTCCGTTATACATTAACGCGCACTCATAACGTATTTTCGCACGCGCACAGGCAATTCCACCGTAAAGGTCTTACAAACTTTCTGCACATGCGTCTCATGACGCATGTGCAGAAAGTTTGTAGCTTTGAGGTCCGGATCATGGGTGTCCGAATTAACGACTTTTGACTGTATATGTGTGTGTGTATAAAGTTAGTACCTTCTGACGAGGAACATCCACCAGACCAGACATTTTATTCCTTAAATAGAGGTGTCCTTTATCAAGAGGTATATATTAAATATATGTTTAATTCAAAGGGGCCGGGACTAACAGAATCATCCCTTACAGGTTGTACTACTATATATAAAGTAGGATAACCTTTGTTTTTTGATACTAAATTTAATTTACCCCACTTTTTCCCTTCAATTTAGAATTGATTATAGATGTATGTATCATATATAATGACATTGCAAGAAAGGTTATATGACATCACAAAACGTGGACATTATGAAGTGCCCACAATGTCGCTGTAAAATTTGTGTGTGACCTGGGTGTGAAGTTGCAAATGTTTGTAATATCACAGTGACGTCACCGTGTGTTGGGGGTATGCAACTTCTTTTTTACTGCAATCAGCACTTCAAACATATACGTACATATAAGTATGTGATTAAAAGAGGAAAAGTCATAGCAAATGTTGATGACATAGAACATAGATAGCATATTGAAGAGGAAGAATTTTGACTGCATAGAATGCTAATCTCTAATGTATAGGAAACTTGGCAGTCAAGGCAGATTAAATTCCATTTTTATTTAAATTCATATTTGTGACCATAATTCACTTGGCACTGTAATCGTGCCTGTTTACAGTACATTTACATTTTTTAATACTATTGTGATAGGAAGAGAGCGCAGTGAAATTGCATCTATGCAGCACAGAGAGTGAAGCTAAAAGTATGCATTTATCCAATATGGCAGTTTGTTAAAAGAAAGGTTTTGGGGTACTATTCGGTAATAGCAATCTGTTTCTATTTAAAAAAAATCAAGGAACTGTAGAAATATGGCAATCTACATTCTTTTATTTTACGCATGTGCACAGCATTCTGTTTTCATATTTAAAAAAAAAGATCAGAGTTCGTCAAATGATAAAAAATTTGATCATTTAAGAAGTAGGTCTTCATGGAATGCAAATAAAAAAAATTGATCATTTAAGAAGTACAACTTCATGGAATGTGAATAAAAAATTTGATTTAATCATTAATAAAGTACAACTTCATGGAATGCTAATCGGAAAATTGATCATATAAGAAGTACAACTTCATGGAATGCGAATTTTTGTGTTCTGTGCTGCTTGGCAAAATACTGTACCTTTAGGTAAATATAATGCTTTCTATTTTGTGGTAAACTCCATAGTCCCATTGTGATTCCTTACGAGGAGAAAAAGAATATAATGACTGTAAAACAACTTCTAATCAGAAGAGTGACCGTCAAATTTGAAGGTGAAAATCTGTGCTCATCTGCTGCACAGGCACACATACTTTGGTTACCACACAAATATATTTGGAGTTGTCTGTTTTAGTTATAGAGTCCATTATCTCATGAATAGTAAGGGGTCTGTGGATAATCAGAGAACCAAAATCTTACATTATATTAGTTTATTTGTGTGTCAGAAAATATATTGTGTATAAAAATATTACTTTATCAAAAATACTTCTTTTTAAGGAAATTTTAGAAAAAAAATTTTCGGTACTTTTCTGTTTTGCCGGCGCAGGCGATAGAGTTGCCAATAATGGTACAACTGATACCAAACGGAATATTCTTGCTGGTAACCTTTTACGCCTCATTTTCAAACAATCGCAACCATTCTTCTCAATTGATTGTTTTTTCAATCTGGCATAAATATGTAGAGTTTACCAATAGTTCATTTTATCCCTAAGACCATCGCGAATTAAGTCATAGGAAGCAATCCACACTGTTCACCAAAGACGAAATATAGTAAAGGCAAGTCAGGGTTAATTCATCATTCTAATGAATACACCTGCGAAGTAAACACGGCGTATACTAATTTCTGAGTAAGCTTTCGTATAATTGAAACAATTCCGCTTTAAACTTGTATCCAAACTAAGATTTACTTGAAATAATGAGAATCACTGAGAGAATTAGATTTCGTACGGGTTTACGTGAGATGAGATCTCTTGGGGGTCGCGTGATACGAACCTCGAATAAGGATGTTGACCATGAAAGCACTAAATTCTTATGTCTTTTTACAATTTATTGCTTTTCCAAATTTTTAAAGCTATTAAAATGTGTATGTTTTCAAAATAAAAAATTCTTAGAACTAACATTTGTTAACATTTTTTATGTGTATACTATATATTTTTGCCAGTAAAATCTGCTTGGCGAGGTTTGCTCCGGCGAAACGGAAAAGTACCTATTTTTCTTTTAAGGAGAGAAAAATAAATTATTTGAATGTCAATTGTTGTACCTTCTTTTTTTCTTATGATCTTCTAATTTTTTGTGTGTGAGTAAGTGATGTAAAATTCTATATATTAACTGTGCTTTCTCTGCAATCCTGTCTTCAGTATGATTAAGTTATTTTATGTTTAATGTTGATCTTATTAAATTAGGGTTTTGATTAAGATATGATGGGGTGCTTGTGTGCAAAATCAGGATCACCCAAAATAAAAATAACAGACAGTAAAAAGGGAGAAAAAAGCTATTCATGGTAAGCTAATTTCTTTTTTCCCCAGGGTGTGTATGGTGTTGGGTATTTTAAAATGCTATGTTAAATTTTGGATTTCTTTTATTTCATAGTAACTGTTATATAATTAGATATGATTATTGTTTCTATTTGAAGATTTAAAATCTTAATAGACAGTATTTATGTTCTTGGAAGATGATATTTAAGATTTAAAGATTTTTTCTGAATGTTTAATTTTGATCTCTGCCCTTTCCCAATGTATCATTCTTAAGTGATCTTTTTCCCTGTTTTAAATTCACTAAATCAGATTTGTTGCTTGTAAAGAAAAAAGTCGGATAAAATTTGTTCTTATTACATACTGTTAATATCAGGTATGTTCCACTCATCATGTTAAAACCATCCAAAGGAGCTAATTGTTTTTATTACCGGAAAGCTCTTTTCAACAGTGGGCTGTTGTTCAAAATGCAAAATTGTTCAGACTTATTTTTCAGAATTATTTCTTGAAAAGCAAGTAGGTCTCATGATCGCAACAAAGCACCAATATTGATGAAAAAATAGTCATCGGAGACCTTCCTGCTGACTTGGATAAAACTGAAATCTCTGATATTTTAATATCTAAAGAATTCACTGTTTGTGAAGTGGTGCAGTTAACTCAAAATAGAACTAAATAATCTATGACATTTTTTTTCAAATACAGCTGTTAACAACCCCTAACATTGAGAACATATCTCCATTAATAATATAACCCTATTCATTGCCAAAATAGAAAAATACATAAACAAAAATTAGTTCATCAGTGCCGCAATTAAGGCATCACTCCTCTGACAATTGTTTTCTCGTCCCATGTGACTGCAAATATGCAGGACATTGTAAAATGACTCTCTGTTTCTACCCAGGTAAATTAGAAAATCCAGTCTGCTTCAGTTGTAATCTGTATCATCCAGAATCATATCTTGGTTGCAAACTCTTTCGATGCAATAAATTACAAAATTTTTATATTCCAAAAAATCAAATCCCCACAGTATAATTAAAATTATCCTGTATAATGGAACCACTTCTCAACTGAACAGCAACATAGCCATTACAAAATCTCTCCCAGAAAATCATTATGTCTAACACTATATCCTGTATGCAAGCACTCAGCAGCAGTAATGATCATAACACTGGCATCAAAGAATTCTTCATATCCACAAAGGAAGTTGAAAAAGTATTTTGAATTAACTATCCAAACTAATTAACAATAACCTAGATAGCCTTAGAACAATGTAAACTCTGGTGAAGAAATTATGCATTATTATTCCTCATATGTGTTTAGTCGAACAGTTTCACGAATGGAGAAAGTTAATCCTGCTGTAATTTCCACTTGAATTAAGCATTATGCAGTTAACCTTTGGACGCGCGGTGGTCACGCCCTGAAATCACCATTTTCCGAATTTTTTTTCTCCTCTTTTTTCCGAAATGTTTGAGTGAAAATGAATTGATTACTGATCTTTTACATCTAAATAACACAAAATGACTGTAGAATCATATATGTTTTAGGTATTAATACTTCAGAGCGGATGTCTTTTAAAATTCGTTTTTGATGAGACAAAATAACTTCCTTTTATTAATATAACACTTTAAATTTCAGAAATTAGTCATCCACATCATATTTCTGCATAACAATAAAAAATTCAGTCATAACTGCATATATATAAAAACCCGCTATATCTATGGCATTTCTATGTGGTTTCGGGCACGACCACTGCGCCACTAAGCATTGTTCACAATGCTTACATCCTTTAGGGCTCTGTGGTCGGGCCTTGAAACCACGGCGTTGCTTCTCAGTGGCGTTCGCTTGCTTTTCAAATAGGAATGTTTATTTTTACCCGGATAGTAAAGGCTTTGAAACTATGGAGTTATTTTATTACTAAACAATATATGCACTCTAGTAAAAAGGTCTTCTTTTCCAAATACTTTCTCTGACATCAACACACTTGCTCCCCAAGCTATATTGTGATTTATAAATTATTTCTTGTGGTTAAATTTAATGTAATATAACTTTGCTATTTAAAATAGAAATTGTGTAAAAGTTTATTTAAATAAAAAATATTTTCTGAATATTTTGGGACGAAATACGAATAACATAAGTATGAATGGGAAACGAACGATCCGTACAACCAAAAAGACCAAGCCCCCCCCCTCATTAACATAAGAAACCACAAATTTCATGTGCCAATGACAAACTAAATAACGCTGGACATATACCATAAATTTAAATCCGTAGGTACATTTTGTAGCAAAGGAAGAAACCTCATAGAACAAATGTGTGTGTGAAAAGTGGCAATGTGGGTCTATGCATGTACCAAAGCGACAAAACATGCTTTGAACAGAAGTCACAAAAAAATGTTTTTAAATTAAAAAAAAAAAAAACACTGAGTTCTTTTTATCCTTTTTTATTGATTTTTTAATCCTTTATCCAAATGTCCTTATTATGTAGGTATTATATTTCACTGCTATAAAAATTACATAAATATTTATTTTTTAATTTTTGCTGACGATTTACTTTGTAAAATAATGTAAAAAGTTATATATAATATAATTCTTACATACATTTTTTAAATCCGTAAATTCATCATTTTTTAAAACGCGCGCGGAAAATCGTAAGTTTTTTTTCCCTACTACATCAGTAAGTTTCAAACTCCTAGACGACCACCACCCACAGAACAATGGGCAAGAGTAGATTTTTTTTTAATTCATATATTATTTGTCTCTAGGATCATAATATTCAATTTCTGGAGTTTTTAGTTTAAAAAAAATTATCAAAATAATATCGTGCGTGTCAAAGGGTTAAGAGGGGGAATCAACTATGAATTATTCTGATTTATTTGCTGACTGAACCCACAATGCAAATTGAATATGATTTGGAATTAAGATTTTAATTTTTAAAAAAATTAAGATTTTGGAATTAAACATCTCATTCAATTTTTGTCATATGCGAGTCAAACTTTTTGTTTTATTTTTATGCTGAATACAAACGTTTCCTAAATATAAGTATACGGTCTGGAGAAACGCGTAAAAAGTTGTTCACATTTTATACATTTTGTTTTTTTTAAATTTAAAAATGCGAAAACATGAATCTGCAGTTGTGGTCTCAAAACATCATTAGTAAAGATAAGCAGAAAGTATGTTTAGATTCTGATATAGGCGTCAAATCATTTGCTAGACATAGACATATCTAATTATGTATTGGATAATTCTGATGTATTTCGTTAAGAAAATAAAGCTAGATCAAGAAATTGCATAATCAACCAATGCAAATATTTTTATGCCATATTTGGCAGGTTTTTTTTTTTTTTTTTGACATGTATTGCCTAAATGAACATCGACCCCCAAATGGTTCTAATTTTTCATCAATTCTTGCATATTCACCTACATTGTAGGCTTTCTGACAGTTCTCAATGAATTTTTCAAAAAACTGTCTTATGGGAGCGAGTTTATCCACATCTCTTCTACTCGGACGATCTTGGGTATCATCAAACCGAAGAAATCTTAATTAGAAAAGGAATTGCTTGCAGGATATTGTTTTGTGGAAAATATCCATTCCAGTTCCATCTGTTGTCCACAGATCTTTTACATTGATGCGAGAGGAATTGTGAACACCACATATATACAAAAGTCCCAAAAGTGCTTTGATTTCACATTCATCCATTTTCTTCGCATTGCGCTCGCTTACAAAACACTCCTGAATGGAATCAATGTAAATTTTTGTACATTGAACTATTATTTCTCTCATGTCTTTGTCAATGAGCAGAGACCAGGAATCCAATAGTGTTGATGTATCTTTCGAATAACCAGTATTTCCTGGAATTTTGAAGATAATATTTTTAGAATTGGTCCTAACATTCGTTCGGAATTTGTTTTTCCTTCCATATCAGGCCATTTTTACAAACATAATTTTCATCATTTGATTGATTTTCTGAATCACTATCTAATTCAGTGTCTGTATCACTGTAAGTTGAATTATGATTGCTGATGTATTCTTCATCTATAAATTCTTCCTCTTCGCTAAACGATTCATCATCTGTTGAAATGGTTTCTAGCATATTTCTCAACCTTTCCATTTCTTTATCATAGCTTAGATGCCTCGCCATGCTGTCTACCTAAGTAAGTGAGGGTGAAAAATCTGAGAGATGCGAGAAGGTGCGCAGGTGTCACATACCCAAACGGTACAATTACTAGAAAAGTATTCAAAGAATCACTCCACTGACATCCCAGCTTCAAGAATGTGACCTTGATATTCAGCTACAAAAGGTTTCACCCATTTCCAGGAAAGGAGTTTGGAGATAAGGTACGCAGAATATGCCCCACCCAACGCACATGCTCGCGGGTTAAAAAATATTTAATCTTTCAAATCCCATCTTCGTTGCCAATAAAACAATGTAGTGTAAGGTTTAGTATAAAACAAGTATGATTTAATGATACAGCACGAATATTTTATTCATTTGTATTTTTTTTAATATTATGTTTTATGTGAAAGGTGGACTTCATTTCACTTTGCCTTATATAAGCAAATAGTTAGCTTTTGAACACATTTGAAATTAAATTACATTTTTTAGTATTTCAAATACATTTGCTAAAAAGGTGGGACTAAGGAAAGAACTGTGCTTGCATTTTAATGATATTGTCTTATTAGCTGTGACCTGGTCTTAAATTATTGAATAAGTAGGGAAGATTTCTGTACTATTATTTATTTGAAATTATAATAAATAAAATATTGCAGTTGTGTTACTGTGAGCTTTAGTTTTATGTAAATGGGCAACTGTAATCAGAGAAATTTTGTTCAGATATTCTGAAGGTGAGTTTGTTCTTTAATTTTGCCATTTGCTGTCTTAATTTAAATATTGCTTTTCAACAGTTTAGTTTTCCTAAATTAAAAATTTTAAACTATTGTTTTCTTCTCTTTGAAAGAGAGAATAGTTTGATGTATGGAATGTCAAAGTTTTCATATATGATACTAGCTTCTCCATTATTTTATCATATTTAGATGTTATATATATATATATATATATATATTATATATGTGTGTGTGTTATTATTATTATTATTTAAGGGATAATAAAAAGGATGTGAATCCTAAAGATTTTACAATTGAAAATGCTAAAGATGAAACTATTGTCAAGTTGCCTGGTTCTGTGAAGGGCCAGCAGTTCATAATACAGAACTGTGAAGTATGTTTACTTTAATTCTTAGTTATTGCAATGTTTTGTTTAAAAGAATGGAGTACTTGTCAATTTTACTGCTGATCAGCAATTAATCAACAAATTTGGCATTATTTTTTTTATGATAATGCAAAAACAAACCAAGTAACATTTTTCAGCATTCCATTCTTTCATATTTAACAGGAGGTTTAAGTGTGAATGTGAATTTTTTCTTTAGTTCACATATATCCATGCTTGTAAACACAAGGGTATCCTTCCAAGTTAATTTCAAACTCAAAACAAGAATTAAGAAATTGTTTTTGCTCTTTCATGTAAATATTTTTTAACTTTAAAAAGATAACAATTTTCAATTTATCATCAAATGAAAATGATTCGGTTGCGTTCTTCGAAGAATGTGGTTTTTTACCTTCCACCTAAATTTGCAAAAACCAACATGAAATGAAATTATGTGATGTCATGGAAGCTGCATGGAGATGCAGTGTGAAAAATTGCTGGGGGGGGGGGGAGAAGGCTTTTACTTCAGCAATCAAGAGTCAAATGCCAGTATTGAATTTCTGTAGTATCATCATTTTGAGTCGTTCCTGGCTGAGTTCATATGGCAGCAGTAGAAAGTCTGTGATAACATATTTGATGCCATATTAGTTGCTATTGCTGATTTATGACTACTTGAAGTGTGGGGAAAAAATCACACTTTTTTAAGTAATTTGCATTTTTTGTAAGCATGATTTTTTAAATGTTTTTGATTACATAAAAAAACATCATAAAAGCGAATTGATATTAAATTTGATTATAGAAAAGTTTTTATTGGAAGGGGCATTCCCCCCCCCCCATTGATATTTTCTTCTTCTTCTTCAATGACCAGACAGCCCGGGATGGGCCCTTGCTTTCCTCAAAATTGAATTCCAAGCTCTTCTGTCCCTGGCTATGGACATCCAGTTGGTTATTTTTTAAATTCTTAAGTCTTTTTTTTTCTCTCTCTTTTTCGTGTGCCGAATGGCCTGGCCGAGGAGATCTTTTTAGTTACTCGATTTTTGTCCATTCTGCATAGATGTCCTGCTCATTTAATTCTCTGAATCCTTATATATTTTACTGTATCTGATTTTTAGAGTTCAGAGTTAGTTCTTCTTTTCCAGATATTGTTACATTTTATGCCACCAAAAATACTCTCAAAATTTTTCTTTCAGAGACAGAAAGGATACTTTTAGCTTTTTCTGTCATTGCCCAGGGCTCAGCAGAGTATGTGAGAATGGGTCTGTTTAAGCTTTTGTAAATTAAAATCTTCACTTTTCTGCTAGTGAAGTTAGATTTTAAATATTTTTTGAGACTGAAAAAACATCACTTAGCATCTGTGACTCTACTAGAGATCTCAGACATTAAATCATTGAGAGTATTAACTTCTGATCCTAAATATTTAAATTTGCTACCAGTTTCAAATTTGTAATTCTCAATTTCAAAATAGGGACTGCCGTTATTACCACATACCATTGATATTTTGGTCACTGGTAAAACTGACAAGTACTAAAAATTGTTAAAAGTTTTATTCATTATGTTATCAGGATAATAATAATTATTTAATAATGTCAAAATAACATAATTTCAAGTCGAATGGCAGTATTGAATTTAAGGAATTTAAGGATTAATGGAATCTTAAGCTGTTATTTCCTGTACATTTAAAATTTTTCAGTATTAATATTTTAATTTTCAGATATAGTTATAGAAATCCTTTTCAAGTAAATATATACTGAAAACATTATATTACTTTACAAAGTCCCATAAAACTGGAGGGAATGGGTTGAAGAATATAAATATTAAATAAACTATTTGGAAGCATTCAGAATCTGAGTCTAGTTAAAATTTTGTTCAACAAATTCCATCACATGTATTAAAAAAGTTTCTTCATTTAATTAATATATTAATTAAATTTGAAGATCTTGTTGGTTTATCTATAGCAGAAAGCTTAATTGGATTAAAAACTTGTAAAAATGATAAATCTTGAATTCTTGATTTTAAGAAAAATCATTTTTCGAAACAGAGTGCAGTGAGATATTTAACTTGGAGTGACAGGTAAATGGTACTCTTTGTTTTGTTGCATCACTTTTATATTATATAGTAAACCCTGTTCCATCCAGAATCAATGCAGTTTTTTGTTGTTAATGATTTTTCTATCAGAAAGTTAAAAATAAACTTTTTGTTAACTACATTTATTTTCCTTTTCATCGAATCCCACCAGCATCCAAATGGTAAAGTTGCTGAACGCTGGTAGTTCAACCTAGGTGTGATTCCAGGCAAATAGGCTTGTTGCATGCACAAGTTTTCCTCGTGTGTAATGTAGATACAAGCAAATTTCCTTTTGAAAATCTTCCACAAAGGCATCCTTTTCTGTAGACAGATACTCCTAGCATGCTTTGCCATAAAAAAAGTAACCAAACCTTTTCATCCAAAAAAATATTTAGTCATAAATTTGTATTTAAATGTGGAAGAAAACAAGTTTAAATTGCAGCAAGTTATTAATTATTTAAATACCTGCTATCAGTGAATAAATATTGGTGATATTATTGATAAATATCTAAAAAAATACTGAATTCCTCTATAGAGAAAATATCAAATCTTGTATACTTTTCTTGTCAGTAGCATTTTGGGTTGAAAAAGAAAAAAATAATCTTTCTGACAGTTTTAAAAAATTTATTATGGTACATTCTGATTATTTGCAGCCGCCCCCACTTTCAATATTCAATAGAAATGCCATGTTTTGGGCTTATTTTCGAGCTGGCATCTGCCAATAGCCAGCCCATGTATGTCTGTACCACTCTTGTTTTCACACTTTATCCATTATTTCATTGATCTGTATCCACCAATTGAAAAATGTGTTCAATAGTCATTGTTTTCTAAAAACTGCTTATTCTTAATAGTACTTATAAACCTATATCTTGCACTTATGAACATATAGTTGCCATGAACCCTAAAGATAGCCAAATAAATGTTTTTCAGCAATGGGGTGGTGACTTTTTGTGGGTGTATGAAACGTCATATGTAACAGAAAAAGATATAATGAAGTTTAATATTTTATTACATATTTCTTTGCATTTAAAATTTTATTAAATGCGAAATGTGTAATTTCTTTACTTTTTTCTTTCATTTTGTAGTTACATTTTGAGATTCTGATATTCTTTTGTTTTCTTCATTCTGTTCACAGAACAGCAACATTTATATTTATGACCATATCAATACAATTACTGTTGATGATTGCAATGGCTGTAATGTCTTTATTGGACCTACGAAAGGAAGGTAAGAATATTTATGTTTATATACATATGGAGCATCTGACTGTTTTGAAATATGTGCTTCTTACATATAGATATGTTTGAAATAAAAAAAAAATAAAAATAAAGTTCACATTCCTGCAATTACACAAGAATTTCAGTTGATATTTGAACGATTTATAAAAATAAACTGACTGCACTTCTTGAATAAAACTTTAATTCTGCACAACTTAATAATGCATATTTGAATGAGTTTCTTTTTTATCTATTTGATTAGCTTAGGGAAAATTCACTAATTCGCTTTTATGTTGTTTTATAATCTTCATTTATACTTATAAGTTAAAGTACATTTCCTTTACTTGATGGCACCAAAAGTATGTATTTTTTGACCTAATTTATAACTCATCAGTTTGCATTTGGTTTCCACTTTCCAAACTTATATTGCTCCAGTTTTCTAGCAAAATATTAGAAATTTTTTACTGCAAGCTTTAGGGTTTTCACTTTATCTGTTACTCATAATTTGCTAAATGGTATTTTTGTTCAAGTGCTTTTTATTCCAGTTGATTAAAATTTCCATCACAATGCATGTAAGCTTAGTATAATTTAAGAATTATAATTTAAACTTCCTGTATGGTCTTTGATGGCTTTGCACACAAATTTGATATGTATAAACCGCTTAGCACCTAGCGCATTAGCACAGCTTTGATTCTGTAGTTAATATAGCAATTCATTTACCTAGAAAATACTGTGGATGGACAAAAATATGGAAACACCTTGTGAAATGCATGTTTGAAAAGAAAGATTGATTTTAATGAAATATGTAGGTGGCGCTGGCATTTTTGACTACTGACACCACCTATACAAATTCGTAAATGTGCTAAACAGTTCAGTTGTTGTCGGAGTACTGTTATGTGAGGTTGCCATTGCATTATGTCAGAGTTAACAGACTTCGAACGTGGGCAAATTTTTGGAGCACGTATGGTAAGTGCTTCCGTAAGCAAGGTAGCCGAGGTGTTTAGTGTTTCAAGAGGTGCTGTATCGAAGATTTATTCCGCATATTTGAAAAGCGGAAAAACATCATCTGCTAAATCACAGCGCGGACGAAAGTGTGTCCTGAGTGATCGTGACAGACGATCATTAAGGGCAATTGTGACGAAAAATAAGACGACCACAGCTGCAAAAGTTACTGCTGAAATGAATGTTGTGTTACCGAACCCTGTGAGTACCAAAACAATTAGAAGGGAGCTTCATAAACAGGGAATTGCTGGCCGTGCTGCAATTGAGAAGCCACTCATCAGTGATGCTAATGCCCGTAACAAGAAAAGGTGGTGTTTAAGTCATAAAGCCTGGACTATAGAGCAGTGGAAGTGAGTAATATGGTCTGACGAGTCTTCTTTCACATTGTTTCCTACTTCTGGCCGAGTTTACGTTTGGAGAACGCCTTCTCAAGCCTATAATACAGACTGCTTGTTGCCAAGAGTGAAACATGGCGGGGGTTCTGTTATGGTTTGGGCAGCCATATCGTGGTTCTCTGCTAGCCCCATGATAACTGTGTCAGGGCACATGACTGCGAAGACTTATGTGAACATTTTGGCCGATCAAGTTCATCCCATGGTACAAACTTTGTTCCCCGATGGTGATGGTGTCTTCCAAGACGACAAAGCTCCTGTTCACACAGCTCACATTGTCCAGGACTGGTTTTCTGAGCATGAGGATGAGTTGTCCCATCTCTCCTGGCCACCACAGTCACCAGACCTGAATATTATCGAACCTTTGCGGTCTACATTGGAACGGAAAGTGCGTTCTCGTTATCCACCACCAACATCGTTATCTAAACTTGCCACCCTTTTGCAGGAAGAATGGTATAATATTCCCTTGGCAAACATACAGGAACTGTATTTATCCATTGCGAGAAGACTGCAAGCTGTTTTGGATGCCAATGGGTTTCCTACACCATATTAAGCAAAGAAACATGTTTTTTTAAAGATGTTTCCACATTTTTGTCCAACCCCTGTATCTTGCAACCAAAATCTTAACTCTGCAAGGGTAATTTTTGCAGTTTATTTCATTTGATGAAATAATTAACTGGAAATATTCAGTGCTTAGGCACAATAAAGAGGAATCATATTTCTGTATGTAAGCTTGATTGTGATATGAATTCAAAACCTAGATATATGTTAGGAAAACAAATTCTACCTATTATGTAATTAACATCAATGGCACAGAAAGATTTAATTTAATTTCCAAAGATAATAGCAATGTTTTTTTCATCAACTTTTGTATTACCTGTGTAAAAACTGAAATGTATAATAGAAAGAAGTAACAGGAAAGTTGAAATAGAATGTCCAAATGTTGTAAAATAGTATGGGATTTGCTATTTATCAGGTAGTTTGATTGGCCATTACAAAATTAGACTATAATAAAAAAAAGTGGATATGCATTTATTTTATTACGTCTTCAGTGTTACAGCAATTAAGGAAGATTTTATTTAAGATGACAGTATTAAATTAAAGTTCAGATGTGAAAGAGATTTTGAAGCTTTGTGAATTCCAAAAAGATGTTACAAAGATTCTTTGTCAAATCGGAGAAAGCTTAACACGTAAATGAGCGAGACCAACTAGCACTTAATGACTAGAAATTGCTACAAAGAAGGGCCTAGCAGCATGTATTCCTCTTTCTGCCGTTACAGAAAGCAAAACAGCAAGTGCTAGTTTACAAAGATAATCACACTTGATGTAAATTGCTATCATATAAAGACCAAGTATTTATTTCATACAAGAAATATGAAGTTTTGTTATACCTAAATAAAAAAAAAAAAAAAAGAAATTGCTTTAAAAAATATCATTTAACTTAACACTTTACCGACCGATCGCTTATTAATCGGCTTTTTTTCACCAACGCCTACCAACCGATAGCCAGTTGATTGCTTTTTTCTCGGGGCTACCTAAAAGTAGACTATCAATCACTAGTCGTGGTGATAAACAATTGCCATTTGCTATATCATCTGCATTTTATTATTAGGGAAAATCTGCAACTGAGCGGCCGATTGGACGTGCATATCCTGTTGAACCGCTAGCGGTCGGTAAAGTGTTAATATGAAAAAATAATTTTATCGTAAAAAGTCTCAGAATCATTAATAAACTGTTAATTTGAGAAATTTATTTCTATGCCACCAGTGGCGTAGCTAGAGTGGGACATCTGTCTCCGGACGCAGCATCCAAGGGGCGCCAAATTGATGCTACGAAATTTTTTAATGAAATGTTTTCCATTTTTGGCACACAGAAAAGGGCCCACATTCTTCAGTTGTCTGCAGGCACTGAAACTCTAGCTATGCCCCTCCCTGGTTGCCACGCTACCTGGAAAAACTGGGAAAAGTCAGGGAATTCAAAAATTGACCCAAAAAGTCAGGAAATTTAAAAATTTTAGTCAAAATCTAAAAATGTCGGGGAATTTCATACTGCATTCCTCCCAAAAAGCAATTTTTGGGTCAAAGCAGAAGCGATCACTTTCTTTATGAATTATCTATCATGTGAGCGTCATTCGAACAGCTGACAGAGACAATTTTTGCAGCACCAACCAGATCAATAATGCCGGGGAAGCCAACTCACAGGGCCTTTACATTTCGTAACAATATATTTTTAATTTGTTTTTTGTTGTGAGTAAAAATGTTTTAAGGTGTAATTTTGTATTAATTTCCTTGCAGTGTTTTCTTAAGAAACTGTTCAGAATGTCGATTTTTGATCGTTTGCCAGCAGTTCCGAGCCAGAGATTGCAAAATTGTGGACATCTTCCTGTGTTGTGCTACACAACCTATTATTGAATCTTGCAATGATATTCGCTTTGGATGCTTTTGTTATAATTATGCTGCTTTAGAAGGTATGTATAAATGGTCTTTCTCTTACATTGTATATGATACTATGCAGTTCCCATTTGATTTTAAACTCCATTGATTTCCTGAGTAAAATTATATTCAGCATGGTTTGCTCTGCTTATAGCAAAATGATTATTTTAAAAATTCTTATTTTCATATTATTTTCTTTTTGTGTTACAGTATAATAATTTAAAATAAATTTATTGATTTATTACATTACATTATAATTGCATCACATTATTTTACATTACATTATATTAATTATTACATTTTATTTCAGATCAGTTTAAAAATGCATGCCTTAGCATTTTTAATAATAATTGGAGTAATATCCATGATTTCACACCAGCTGAAGGAGAAAGAAATTGGAGTCTATTGCCAAAAGTAGGTTTCATATTATTTTTGTTAATACTTAAATTTGTACTAATTCAGAAGTCAAACAACAAAAATCAGTGTTATGTTTACAAAATTGTTTGACTTCTGAATTAGTATTTATTCGGCATGTTATTGTGTCTTAATTACTTAAATTTGTGTTAATTTTTTTAAATCACTGAAATAATATATTGCATATAGCCATTGATTCTAAACATCAAGAACTTCTTCATCAACTAACAAGAACATCAAGAACAAGGAAATACTTCTAAACAACTTCTAAACATCAAGAACAAGGAAACTTGGCCATATGTCTTGCTTCTTTTCTTCTAGCTCCTTATATATATTTTAAAAAAATAGCAGTTATCGAGTCTTCCTCTTCCACTCCCATTATAGATTTTTCACATTTATTTAGTTTGCCTCTTTTATTTAATTATTTCATTGGTTGTTATTTTTTATATTTCATTACCTGTTATGTGTATTTATCATACTGTTCATATCTTTTGCTATTACTTACACATTCTAACCTTGTATGTTTTATGACCTTGCTCCCGTTTTTATAGATTTTCACTGTTTTTCACATTTACTCATTTTTTGTAAAGAAACAATTTTAAATTATTCATTATAACATTATTACCCTTATTACTAGCAACTTATACTGCCAGCCACTTAAAATAGCCATTATGAATAAAAGATTTAAAAAGAAGTTTTTATAAGCTTTTATTTTAAAACTCATAAAATCATTAATGAACTAATATTAAGAGAATAATTTATAGTTTAATGGGAACAAAAGATAATTATTTTTATAAGATTCAACTACAATTTTATATAACCACAGATAAATGAAAAATTAGTATGGGATTTGGTCACTTTCTGCCACTGTAACAGCTGCCACTCTCTGGAGTTTAAAGAAATGGAAAAGTTTTTCCATATTAACAAGTACCATAAGTAAGTTTAATAAAAGCTTATAAAAATGCGGCTGGTTTAAAAAACATTGTAGGAAGTCACCTAATTAATATTTTAATTCGTGTTTTAGAAGAAAATGATGATTTTGTTTTATAATCTTTGAAAATTTCAAATCTTTATGACATATACATTTTTGGATGTTAGAATTTTAAAGATAAAATAATAAATAAAAGAATATAATATTGCATACCACAATTAAAATAAGAAAGTTAACTTTTGCAATGAAATGCTGAGAAAAATGCATATTAACTTGTGAAATAAAAAAAGAAAAAATGAAATGGTGGATTTTATTGCAATTGATTGTAAACACTAATCAATTCTGATTATGTGGAAGAAAGAAAACTAGGGTGGCATAACGGCACTATAACTTTAAAACTGAAGAACAGATTATTCCTTCTTACTTTAGCATTTTTTTTTTTTTTTTCAAGTGTAGAAAATTGTCAATTAATATTTTTTATCATTCTAGTTTTAAAAGATGGTGAAGAATTTGTTTTATAATGTGTGAAAAATTCAAAATTTTGTAACCAATATGTTTTGAGATGTTAAAATTTTAAAATCATAAACATCAGGTAACTAAAAATAATCTTGCAATTTGAACAAATTTGAAAATTTGAACAAAAATTGAAAATGAAGTTAAAAAGCTTGATACAAATATAATTTTAAAAATTTTTTTCTGCTCTCTCTGATGATTTCAGACAGTAAATCTCTGAGATTTTTAATTTGTTCATTAAATGAAAATATGTTTAAAAAATTGTTTAAGCATTAAATTTTAAAAAATTAAATAAAATTTTGAAAAAATCTCTTCACCACATTCTATTGTCATCCACAAACAGTGTGTACAAAATTTGAAGTCGGTAGCTTATCAGGAAGTAGTATGAAAACTGATGACAACCTTTTGATCTTAACAATAAACACCAAGTATTAATTAAATAAAAGCTTAGAAAAGGTACTTTTGATTACTTGCATCCCCTTGAGGAATATTCATGAGTGATGAGTCGGTACTACCGAACCGGGTATTTTGTAACGGGTACTGAAAATCGGTACATCCAAGTACCCGTTACTTCAGTACCGAAATCAGTACTTTTTGGTATTCGTTCGTTACTTCTGTACCAAAACGGGTACTTTTCGGTATTCGTTACTTCTGTACTGAAACAGGCACTTTTCGGTATTCGTGTATTCGTTACTTCTGTACCGAAACAGATACTTTTCGGTATTCGTTACTTCTGTACCGAAATGGGTACTTTTCGGTATTCGTTATTTCTGTACCGAAACGGGTGCTTTTCGTTATTCAAACGGGTGCTTTCGTTATTCGTTACTTTGTAACGAAAATATGCGTCTCTTCTCGGTATTTCGGTATTCGTTACTGGAGGATCGATGAGGGTTCAGCTCACTTCGGTTTTGGTATGAGGACAGTAGTATCTGGTTGTATTTGCGAAATGCTCATATGCGCTCCTTGTGTCCATGAATGGTTTGCTCCTTAGACACTTTCGTAGTTGACGTTTTCTGATATTCAAAATCTTGCTCCGTACAGATAAAATCAAACACTTTGTGACGTGGCAGAGTTCCTTCAGTGCGCAAAATCGTTAGCTGCGTATTTTGGTACTCCAAATCGTTAACTAGGGCACTTCAGTACTCCAAATTGTTACTAGGGTACTTTGGTATTCCAAATCTTTACTAGGGTACGGTACTCCAAATCGTTACTAGGGTATTCCGGTACAGCAAACCGTTACTCCGGTATTTTGTTACTTCGGTACTCCAAATCGTTACTTGGGTACTCTTTACACTAAATCGGTTTTCGGTACTTTTCAAAGTAACGGTTACTTGAGTAACGGGTATTTTGTAGCGGGTACTTGTCCCGTTACTCTTGTACCGGGTACAAGAATGTACCGAAGTTGCCCATCACTATTCATGAGACAACGTGCTATATCATCAAAATAGGCAACATGTGACATTGCCCGAAAGTGCGTAAAAGGCAATCCTGGTAAGCACTTGTTGCAGATGAGCACTTTTCAAATTTGATGGTCGTCAGCAATTTTTTCTTTCGTTGCATTAAGTTCTTCCCCCTCCCCTTGTAAGGGATTGTAATAGAACTGTGGAATTTGCCAGCTGATGAAAAAGACTTAGCATTTCTGCAAAAATATAGTGTTTTACCTAAAATTAGAGAATGCGTTAATTTGTGTTCCATGAAGCTTTATTTCGTAAATGATTTGAGTTTTATGAATGTATAATTTATTCTTTCATGTCGAATTTGTGCAATACTCTGATATTTTTTAAGCAAAAACAGAATGGTTTATGCATGGGAAAATGAGAACATGTGAAATGCCAAATGAATGCAATTCCTTGTTGTTTTTTAAGGAAGAATGGATTGCTGTGTACATAGGGAGATCAACAGTGTGTGCCAAGTTGTATTTGAGTCCTCTTATTTAGGGTTTCTCCTCAGTTAAAAATCCAATTTATTTCAAAAAATGAGAAGTGCCAGAGCAGGGCTTGGGCAAAATTTAAGTTTTGATATTTTTAAAAAAAGTGTTTTTATTTCACTACTTTCATTTATCCTTTTTCCTGTGCTATCCTTCCCTTTGTATTAGCATTTTCTTTACATATAAATATGTAAAAAACATAATAATTTTGTATTGAAATCCTGATGAATTGATTCATTATTATAATTTAGGAACTCTTCCTTATTAACAATGGAAACAATTGTTGGAAAGGGTAAAAAACTCAGGAACTTTAAGAAGCTGGCTATAACTATCTGAAAGTTAATCACAGATACAATTTCATAGATATGTACGCACAAAGTGTTGAGCGTTTATGGGGATCAGCTAAACGAAGAAATAAAATTCACAGGATAGCACAAGGCAACATCTCACGTCCTATCTGTCAGAATTTATTTAGAGAAAAAAAGCAAGCAGGAGGAATTATTTTGATTCCATTTTAGAGGCAATAGGCAAACAGTTTCCACCTGAAATCAACACTAATTGACATAAGCAATGGCCCTTCTACCCTTTTTATAATTAAATTTATTTTTCTCATTTGCTTATTATTAATTATTATGTGTTATTATATCAAATTATTTATTCTTATGATTTTACGATATTGAAAGGAAAGTATAAAGGAAAAGTACCATAATTTGGTTAGTTATTTGTAAACTACCAGAATTTAAAAGCTAGAAAGGGGGAAATGTAAAGAAAGCTTGGGAAGACCAAAAAGTTTCAGAAATCATCTTCTAGAATGCTATTGACATCATTGGTATGCTATCAACCAAATCCTTTGTCAGGGGAATTGGGGATGTACTTGCAAGATTTGATTATAATTTATTGAAATATTTTGTTTTTCCATTTTTGGTTATTTATTCTTTTTCAAAAATATCTTTTTATACAATGCAAGTCTTGTTTATAATCCATCAATAAAGATGGGTATTTAAGGTGATCTCTGGAAGAGAAATTTTATAGTCTGTTATTTTTGTATACTGAGATCATGCAGTTTCAGTGGTAACCAACTTATGCCCACAAGAGGATCAATTTAAGATTACCAATGGTGTGTGACCGTCATGGATTTTGTTAAGTTAATATTTAAATGTATATCTGGAAATAGTATTTATTATTATAAACAGTTTACATATTAATTATGTACATAATGTATGTACTCTCTGTGTATGAAATATTCAATATAAAACTATCGTGATTCTTTTTTTTTTCCCCAGTAGAAGCTATTAAAGTGGTAGCATCGAAAATTGTTAATTCATTTAAATCTTTCATATTAAATGTATAATTGTAACAAATCAAACTACATAACTTTTCTCTTGAGTTGTGAACTTGGTTGGAAGGAATTTTTTTCCTCCTCTCAGTATTTAAACCTGAGCTCTAATCAGGGCTGTGGAGTCGGTAAGAAAAATTATGGACTCAGGCTCTGATCCCGACTCCTGGAATTTTAAAGACTCCGACTCCCTCATACATATTTATGTAAACATATACACATGGGTTACAGCTTATTTTTTTAATATAAAAGAAGTAATAGATTCTACAGAAAAAAAAAAAAATGATGACATAGCAAGTTATATTTATATTAATTAGCATTTATTATGAAATGGGAAAAACTGGCATTAATTATTTCTAAGAAACAGTATAGCTTCGGCAAGATCTTCGTTGTTAGAGGACTATATGATTAACTTCAGATTTGATTCCGATTTGATAGATCTGAGAAGAGTCTTTTCACACTGACTTGAGTAGGAGGAAGAGCTGTTACTATTAGGGCTATATCTTTTAACTTTTCAGGATAGATTTTTATAAGTTCTGAACAAGGTGTCTTGCAAGAGCAATCATATTTCTCTATTTCTCCAAAGGCCGTGTATAAATTGTGTTTGTATTTTATATCTAAAGGCTCATGGTTTTTTATTTTCATTCGCTTTGCCTTTTCAATATTATCCAAAAATATTTCTCAAAATCTAATTCATCACTGGAAGAGGATGATAGAGACTCAGTTGCAATGTCTGCAGTTTCACTGTCTTGATTTGAATACTTTAGTTGTTCTGATAATAATTTCATTCTTAATGAAAGTTCATAGATGGCTTTCTTTACCTTCTTAATTTGTTTGTCATCCAACAAAATTCAGTGTTTGAAGCTACATATATTGAACCCAGCAAGATCTTGTTGTCTAGCAGACTAGTTTCTCTTTTCAGAAGAACAAACATCACATTCTTCCATTCTTACCTCCTGTTAATTCTTTAGATTGTAGCTTCTTTTTTTGGGGGGGAGAAGAGTTAGAAAAGAAAAGAAAAAAGAAGAGTTTCCAATTCTGCAAGGTCATTCCACAGTCTTTCTGTTAGTGAAACATATTAATATGACAGTAAAATAGAAATAACTATTTATTAATGTATATAGTTCATAAATAAAAATAATAACTCAGTGTGTCATTAATTTTTCAATTCACTTTAATTTCATTTCAAATTCAAACTGTCCAGCAAAAACTGGAGTTGGAGTGTACCTGTTTTTAGCGACTCCAGCTCAGACTCTTTTTGCCCCAAAATCTGTCTAATTCTGATTCTGACTCCTCAGCCCTGGCTCTAATGCTGTAGGCAGAGAACTGAGGAAAACAAAAAGTAGTTAGTGATTCTATAGCATAAAGCTGTATAATCCACCCCATCTGTAATTTTGCATTTTTTGTAATTGTTTTATATAGTGTTTGTCAATGAACTATGTTATCCAACGAGTCATTATTTGGTGAGGAAATTCCCTATTCATGCTGTGTGAAGTTTATCAGCACTGCAAGTCAATCAATTACCACACTACATATGTTGCTGCTAAGCAACAGCTGATGCATTATTGCAACAATTTGGGAGAGTAGTGTGGCTCTAACATGCTATGGTCAATTTTGTTAATTTTTTGGAAGTAACATGAAATGATATCATTAGCCACCTGTTGGCTGTCACTGTTGTACATTAGAAAAGATGTTTTTATTTTTGAATAATAATAATAAACTTATTTGAAAGTTATTTTAAAAGAAATTTGAAAATGCTTGATTTTTGAGGTTACTGAATCATTGTCTGTTTTATTTCCGTCATTTTGGCGGAGTGTAATTTTATATGAAGCAGAAATTAATAATTTTTATTTACTTATTTAGACATTTATACTTTTATCTGAAACTATAAAATTACTTATATTTAAATAGATTGTGCATGAAAATGTTGAATTATTTTTTAATGTATTCTTTGAAAAACATCTTAAAATGCCAGGTTATCTGAGATTTTTGTCTACCTTTGTTTTGTTGTTGTTATCTTTCTATTTATTATGTTATTATTTGTATTTTTACGTAACAAAATTTAATGAACAACTATTTAAATAGGATGCCAGAATTGAAGATTTCTTCCCTCTTCCGTCACAAGAGAAATTGGGTGATATGCAAGTAATGACGGATCCTCAGAGCAGTCTTGTTCCCCAGACACATGGCTGTTTGCAAAGAATATCTATGCAGGTACTGCTTGTGCATATTGTTAATTTAATTATAAAATCTCATTTCATCATACCATACGTGTAGTTTCTTTCTTTTAACACGGTGAGCGTGGCGCTGGTCCCTGGTGACCGGCAGTGAACTTTTTGTGTGGCTGCCATCGGTCCCTGGGGACCTGCACTGGAATTTTCGTTTTGCTGGCATTGGTCCGCGGAACTGACAGTATAAAAAATAAATATAGTTAAAGTTAAAAAATAAATATAGTCTCGATGAAATGTGATCAAATTTAGTTTTAATGAAATGTATTGAAACATTCTAAACAAAAATATGGCTTAGCTCACTGCCAGCTGAACGGAAAGGACAGCAAATTCGGCGCCGCGCTCAACATGTTAAGCATGAATTCTTTCTTGAATATACATAGCTTGAAGCTGAGTGATATTTCATTGCTCATACTGCTTCTAAAGTAAATGTGAACTTATGTCCATATGTTTTACATGGTCAAAATTATGTCTTTAATGTATTATTTCCTTAGTATTGCCTTGTTGTATTCTTTTCGGATGGTCATGCACAAAATCGAGCTTTGGCACTTATTAAAGAATTAGAGCAAACAGATGTAAGTATACTGCCAGAATGCTGTTTTGCTGATATTTAGAGTTTTTAAACTATTGTTTTATAATGTTTTTAAGTATTTCTTTGTATGAATATTTTGGATTATGGAAGCAAAATTTATCATAAAAATTATGCATGTAATGTTTAATTATATGCCATATGACAAATGTTTGAATAGTTTATTGTTTTATTGATTTTGTTTTTATTTAAGAAATTCATATTAACTAGCACAATTCAAAAGGAAGTGATAGAAACACACACATTCTTGGATACCTGCTGTATGAAATCGTGTGTAATTGAAGTGTTTGATGTATTTACTTGAATGACAAATTACATCCATATAGCTTAATGAATGTGATAATTCTAAATAAAATCTTTTAGTAGCGTTTTGGTTTTTTTCGTAGAATGATTGTTTTAAAATTAAATTTACTTAGCTTCAGATTTTTTTTTTAATCTAAACATTAAAAAAACAGTAAAGTAAGAGAACAAATTCAAATGAAAGGGTGTTTTGTAAGATGATTGAATTCTCATTTGAAAAATTCTTAGGTGTATGTGCATACATAAGCATATAAGTGTATCAAGCTGTGATCAAAAAGTATTGGGACTGCTGCTATATTCTCAGAGCAAAAATATTCCAACCAAAGCCACCTGGTATAGATTGATCTTTTATTATGCATTCTAAATTATAATGCATACTTGAATTTTCTAGTTCACACAGGAAGTGGGTGGGGGCACTTAAAATGAACGTATAGATTATCTTATTATCACATTTGTCTTGGGAGAGAATTTGCATCAAATTTTGCCAAAAGCTTTGTGAGTCTGAGCAAAGACTTGTTGCAGAATATATGTGAGGAGAAATATATGAACCACATATGGCTGGTTCGGACATTTTCAAGATGTCCAAGAAGGCTTCAAAAGTGATGAATATCCCAGAGAACACATAATCAACAAAATTGAATCATCAAAGATTTGTTGGAAGAAAGGAAAATCATTGAATCACTGTTTGTGAGTTATTGGAATTGTATTTCAGCTTTATACACACTTACTAAAGATATGGATGTGAGATGCCAATCTGTGAAATTGTGTAAAAATTGATTTCAGATGAACCAAAAAAGAGTTAAATTTTAATTTACAAGATTTCTATGTATAAAGGATGTTGAAAAGCTTTTTTAATGTGATCGTAACAGTTGACAAATTTATTCCTGCGACCCTGAAATAGAGCCTCAGTCTTTGCAGTGGAAATTCCCAGCCTCTCCAAACAAGCGTGAAGAAATCTAAGAAGTGTGAAGACACTGTTGACCCCCCTTTTTTTCTACAAGGGCTCTGTTTATCATAAATATGCTCGACTTGTGCCAGGCAGTAACCAAGAAATATACAGGGTGTTTATAAAGTCCTGGACCCATTTTGATGTTTAATAACTCATAAAATAATGAAGATATAAACAAACTTATGGCATTTTTGATGGAATAACTTATATATTTTCCTTTTCAGGTTTGAATATCTTTACTTTTGTAAATATCGTCTGCGCGTGTGGTTAATTTCAGATAATTTCATTTTCCAGTCTAAATATCTGTACTTTTCTAAATATTGTCTGCTTATTAATTGTATTTTTCTCTTTTTTGTTAAATTAAGACTGCATGCATACAAAGTTTAGATTGTTCAAGTTTTGGAACCAAACGATAGGCCTAGGAGGATGGCCTTTGCACCAGATATGCTAAGGAGGATAGAAGATGATGCTGAATTTCTGAAGTGCATATTGTTCTCTGATGAAGCATCCTTTCATCTTTCTGGCATTGTTAATTGCCATAATGTGCTCATATGGGGATCTGAAAAATGTTGGAAAACTTTGTATTTCCACAACTAGAAGAGCTTCAGCCACATGTCTTTTTGCAACAAGATGGTGCACCACCTCATTGGGGTACCATCGTTTGTAGTTCTTTGAATGACCATTTTACAGGAAGATGGATTGGGCGAGGAGGTCCAATTCCTTGGCCACCCAGATCACCTGATATAACATTGCTGGACTTTTTCCTTTGGGGATTTGTAAAGGGCAACATTTACAGGAGGAGAGTGTCGAACATTGATGACCTAAAAGTCAGAATTACAACCGCAATAGCCTCTGTGGATGCCGACATGCTTGTCGGTACCTGGCGTGAAATTGAATATCGACTTGATATTCTCCGTGCGACGAAGGGGGCACACATGGAAGTTCATTCACAAGAGTCATGAAACTTTTTGAGTCTATGTAACCATTTATGTTATTAATTTTAATCTATCTTTATTATTTTATTAGTTATTAAACATCAAAATGGGTCCGGGACTTTATAAGCACCCTGTATTATGTATTATGAAGTGTTTTGCCATTTGGTGAATCTTGTTCATCAAGAAAGGCTAGAATTGCTTGTATTCAACAAGTGGCATTTTCATTTCATTTTGTTGTAGCAAAGCACTTGAGGTCTATCTGCCTAAGGGGAGGAATGCCTTTGTAGAGGACTTTCTATGGAAACTGTCTTGTATACATGCTACACATGCGAAAAACACGAAAATGTCCATTCTCAGAATTTTAACTTCAGATCGAACTCCCACTGGACCAAACTTACCAGTGACTTCACTGCTCAGCTGCTGGTGGGCCTCAATAAATGGCAACTCCATCATGAAAATGCATTAGTTCAGCTTATGCAATAATTTTGGACCAAGCTCAAAATATCTGACATACCATAGCTCCATGCCCGACATACCACATTCTCCTGTTTTCATTTTCTGCGACTTTTTCCTATTTTTTAAAACACAGTTTTAAGAAGAAGATTTCAAGATGTCATGAAATCTGAGAGAATATAATGCAGCTTTTTGTTATCCTAGACAAAGAGTTTCAGGCATGCTTCAAGCAATGATGCAATGATGAATAAAATATATGATTTCAGAAGGTGACTACTTGAAGAAAATTGAATGCCAAATCTCTGAGAAACAAGAGTATTTTTTTAATAACTTCAGTCCCAAAACCTTTTGATTGCACCTCATCACATATATGTAGCATAATTTCATTTTGCATTTTTCATTCTTCATAGAACATTTTACTACGAACAAAAGAAGTTTTGTTAGAAGAAGATGCTGCAGAGAGAATTTTCGCCTCCAATGCTTATAATAAGATAGTCAAAAGAGGTAACCTAGATTCTTTTATTTTCAATAGATATCTTTTTCCTCATCAAATCTAGTCCTAATATAGCTTGACTTAATAAGATTTGTTTTTTGTGTTTTAGAAATGTTATTCCATTTCTTTTTGCTTGTGTTTACAAACAAGAGGATATATATATATACATATATCATTTTATTACTTTTACTTGAGTAACAAAAGATAATACATATTTAACCCTTTCGTGGGCCATTTATTTCTCTTTTGAATTTCTCCTGTTTTTTTATGTTTTATTATCAACTAAACAATAGCATTTAAGGAAATATATTTTATTTTGCCAAATTTTTTGTTTACATTTAAATTCTAGGGGTGGGAAGTATACTTCCCATGGGACCTTTTATGGTCATAGAGAAAATTCAATATAAAGGCGATTATTTGCCGTGAAAAGATGAGAAACATGTTGCAATGCACAAGGGTACATCACATACTGCACACATATAGCGGGTCCTCTTTTCTTGGGCCTTTGTGCTACATTTCCTACATCGTCTATAGTTGGAAAACCATCTTTGGCATATGATTTCCCACATTGGCTAAGCTTATATCATCCGGAATTGCACACCTTTTTGCTTGGAAGCTAGCAGGACGGCCTTTCCTTTTTCGAGGAATATCCGTCTATTAGTTGATGAGCTAATGCTGTACGGAATGTTAGCTGGTCTAAACTTCTGTTTCTCTCGTTTACTTGCCACAGTATAAAACTATTTACGATACCAAGATCAATAAGAAAATCAAAAATACGATGCCACCATTCTACAGATCTTCTTCCTATTTGGTATCTTTATTTTCTTTGATCGAAGCAATCAACCCCTCCCATGATATTGTTATATACATATCGTTATATATGGTGACAGCTTTAGGGCAAGGTACTTCAGTTTTAGTACCATCATTTTGTGTACGATTTACAGATGTAATAATCGCTGAATTGTGTGCAGTAGTCAACAATGTAACAGCCTTTTTGTCCATCCACTTTATTGCAGCAATACCTTTCTTAGATAGGAACATTAATTCTCCTCTTTGTAGTTTGTTATTAGCCTTCAGCATTGGTGGAAGATCCTTCCTTTGCGGCCTCACAGTCCCCACAGAAAACAGACCACTTATAAGTAGACTTTTTGCAAGCCTAAAAGATGTCAAATAGTTATCATAGGCTATAAGATGACCTGTCTGTTTCACATCTTCCGTTAGTTTAGTTTGTTTCCCCTAAGCTCAATATTTTATCCTTATTATCAGAAGTTTCTTTTCCACAATAAATTTCAAATTTTTGAATATATCCAGTCTTAGAGTCTGCTAAACACCACACCTTGTAACCTCTTTTTATAGGCTTCATTGGCATATACTGCTTCAATGAAGTTCTCCCTTTGAAAGCTATCATACATTCATCTATTCATAATGTTGACGAAGGTTCGTAGACTTTAGGTATGGAATCATTGAGCTGTGAGAGGATTGGTCTGACTTTATCGAGTTTATCATGCCCAAGTTGCCCACATGGATTTGTGCTGTTATCGTTTACATGTAAAATCTCAGTTATTTTTTTGAACCTCTTTGCGATTATTATTCTTGCTACTGATTGAACATTGAGAATAGGGTCTGTGCTCCAGTAGTTTTTCAGTTCAGGCAATTGATGTATACCCATGAGTATATGCATACCTACCCATGCTTTCAATTCTTCTGATGTGATTTCTTTCCAGTTCAGGATAATGTCTTTTGTGGTATGACCCAATCTCTTCCTTTTCTTAGGCTGCTTTGCATATGAGTTTGTTTCGTCAACAATATTCTGTAAAATTTCCTCGGTAAAAATCATGCCAAAATAATCCTTTTCTTTCTCAGTAGAATTGAATGATATTTTCAAATGTATTTTCAAAAATATTCTAATTTTTCCAACATACCTATTGCACGTGGCTTTTATACACGATGCAATAGCATTTTCACTTTTCACCCATTATTTATTATTCAATATTAGATAGTTACTGCAGAAATATACAAAATAAGAGAACGTTATTATAATAAAAACAGTGTTTTACTTACATTTGTAGCAGAATCGTATAGCAATGCAAATGTCAAATCAAAACAGGTGTCTCAGTGGAACAGATCTCACACAACGCGTTCGAACTTTCAAAACAAATGTGGTAATTCTGTTTTCAATCGATTGAACACTGATGGCAGCACAATACTGAAGTGGGAATTAGAGTTCCCAACGTTATAATACCAAAGCCAATATATTATAGTGGGTTTTGCTCTTCCCACAAGTGTATTTCCCAGGATCATGTAGGTGGGAAGTAATCTTCCCACGGCCCACGAAAGGGTTAAAAGTCAGAAAAAGTATAGGCCACTTAGACATTTTTTTGCATATCTATCTGGGACTTTCATTATGAGCATATAGCTTTTGTAGTATTAATGTGAAACCAATAGTGGAAAATTTTTATTTATTAAAATCCAATATCTTAAACTATATTTACCCACTGAAGTATTTCAATTTAACAAAAATTTTCATAAAGTATGAGAACATTGTTTTGGGTCCAAAGCCATGATATACAGTGGATGGACAAAAATATGGAAACACCTTGTGAAATGCATGTTTGAAAAGAAAGATTGATTTTAATGAAATATGTAGGTGGCGCTGGCGTTTTTGACTACTGACGCCACCTATACAACTTCGTAAATGTGCTAAACAGTTCAGTTGTTTGTCGGAGTACTGTTATGTGAGGTTGTCCTTGCATTATGTCAGAGTTAAAGACTTCGAACGTGGGCATATTGTTGGGGCACGTATGGTAGGTGCTTCCGTAAGCAAGGTAGCCGAGGTGTTTAGTGTTTCAAGAGGTACTGTATCGAAGATTTATTCCGCATATTTGAAAAGTGGAAAAACATCATCTGTTAAATCACAGCGCGGACGAAAGTGTGTCCTGAGTGATCGTGCCAGACGATCATAAGGGCATGTGACGAAAAATAAACGACCACAGCTGCAAAAGTTACGGCTGAAATGAATGTTGTGTTACCGACCCTGTGAGTACCAAAACATTAGAAGGGAGCTTCATAACGGGATTGCTGGCCGTGCTGCAATGAGAACCACTCATCAGTGATCTAATGCCGTAACAGAAAAGGTGTTATAAGTCAAAGCTGTACTATAGGCAGTGGAAGTGAGTATATGGTCTGACGAGTCTCTTTCACATTGTTTCCTACTTTGGCGAGTTTACGTCTGGAGAATGCCATCTCAAGCCTAAATACACGCTTGTTGCCAGAGTAAAACATGTGGGGTTTGTTATGGTTGGGCAGCCATATCGTGGTTCTCTGCAGCCCCATGATAACTGTGTCAGGCACATGACGCCAAGACTTATGTGAACATTTTGGCCGATCATCCCATGGTACAAACTTTTTCCCCGATGGTGATGGTATCTTCCAAGACGACAAAGCCCCTGTTCACACAGCTCACATTGTCCAGGACTGGTTTTCGAGCACGAGGAGAGTTGTCCCATCTCCCCTGGCCACCACAGTCACCAGACCCTGAATTTATCGAACCTTTGTGGTCTATTGGAACGTAAAGTGCGTTTTGTTATCCACCGCCAACATCGTATCTGAACTTGCCCCGTTTTGCAGGAAGAATGGTATAATATTCCTGGCAAACAACAGGAACTGTTATCCATTCCGAGAAGACTGCAAGCTGTTTTGGATGCCAACGGGTTTCCTACACCATATTAAGCAAAGAAACATGTTTTTTTAAAGGTGTTTCCATATTTTTGTCCAACCCCTGTAGGTTTGAGATTCCTGTGGTGTAAAAATTGACAAATACATATGTAAGGAATGTTAAAATGTTAAACAGAGCATTCATCGAAGCCTTGCATGTTTATGGAATATTTATTACCTCAGACATCCCAACTATTTCAGTTTATTTTGGTAAATGATTTCTTGATAAGAAAATTATATAGTCTTTGTCCATAGTTGAAGATCTTATTCAAAAATGGGGTGCTTATTTTGGATATCCTTGCTCATTTATTCATCCTGAAATAAATTCCAGATCCACACTTTTCAGAAGCATATGTGAATTTCATAGCAGAAATGCTGTTTTCCGATGTTCTTTGCATATACAATTGACTTAAAAAGATATAACTATGCTGGATATGCTACTTGTGCTACAATTGAATTAGAGAGATGTAACTATACTGGATATGTTACTACTTGACTTATGTTTGTTTCTTGAGGTCAACAGGAGAGCAAGAATATTCCTTTCTTTTGCACCTAGGGTGCTGGATATCTTTCTTTCTTCCCCCCCCCCATATAGGAGTCTGCACAAGATTATCAAATGTATCTCATAGCAAATAGTCTCTCAAGAATACAAAGAAATTGGGAATTGTACTATGTAAGAATCTAAAGCAAATGCACAAGTCTTCATTTTATGTATCTAAACCAATAGACATATTTTCCATGAGTGTTTTTAAAAGCTTTTGACTTGAGAAATCTCGACATTTTTGCTATACTTTTCATTGAATAATGTGGATTTTTTTCTCTATGTCAAATGACTTTTTACAGTATTTTTGAAAATAGAGAAGCTAAAATAAATTGCATTTTGTTATTCATTCTAATTCATTTATATGCTATTTTTTATTAAAAGTTATTATTTGAAATGTTGTTGTTATTTGAGTTAGAATTCATAATAGTGTAGAATGTGTCCATATAAGTATTCTCCTTATAATAAAGATTTGCCCAATATATAAATTAATTTTATATACTGAGCAAAAAAATTAATAAGAATTTTATATAAAATTCATATGAATCTTGAGCAAAACTGAATGAGAGTTCTTTTTCTTCAAAAGCAAGAAAATCTTAATATAGGAAAGGAGAATCATGGAAACTAATAGTATTTTTGTAAAGTGAATGCCAATTTAAGCTCCCTTCTCTCCCATTTTAGATTTCATAATGATTTTTCCCCCACTATAGATCGTGATCCCTCTTTCGTCAGAAAATTCTTCAATGTTTTAAAAATTAACCTATTATCCTACATAAAATAATAAAAATGTTAGAAATTGAAATATGAATGCATAACAAATGCATATCAAAACATTGGTGTGTTGTATTTAATTACGGCAAAGCACATGACGCTATCTGTCTATATCCGAACATGGATTACAAACACATTAGTTTCTTGTAATTTTTTTTTCATGTTTTTTATTTATATTTTTTTATGTGGATTAATGAATTTTTAGGTTTTTCTCATCCATGAAAATCTTTCTAATTATTGATTCAAATTCTAATCTCCATTTACAACTAACCTTTAAAGAATTTGATTCTTAGTTGCTTCTTCATCAATTTTTCAACAGTAGATGATGACATTAAGGATCTCGTTTCATATTTTGTCACAGAACTCCTGACCTTACTTCTGTATTCTCATTGTAAGCATAAGTTTCCTTTTATCTCATTTACATATTTGCAGTTGAAGAACAAAGTTCTATTTTACTTTAAGAATTATTCTGTTACATGTTTGTTTCTTTTTTCTGATAATGTTCAAAATATTTTTTTAAATTTGTTTAATTAATATTTGATGAATTTAGGTCTAAGAATACAAAATGTGTTACATAATTAGTGCATAGTACTTACATATTATACCACTGATCATGAAAGCTGTACCAGTCATTCCTACAGAATTTTGAGCTGCACTTCTAATTGCAACTTTCACAATAATATATTTGTCAGGCTGTTTGCATAATCTACCAAACAACTCTGTTGTAAAAGGATTCAGTGTTCTTCATTTTTGTGCCTTGTAAAGGATTTTCATTGATTTTTTTTTTATTATTATTATTTTGATAGACCCTCTGATTTTACTGGAAGCTATGTGTAGAATGCCAGGAGTACAAGCTTCCCACATGCGATTGTTTCAATCTATTACTGTTTTGTTGGCTCTGTCCATCTGTTCTGGTCTGCGTTCAACAGATGGTAATTCTCTCAAGCTCTAAATGAGCCTAAGGACAATCATAAATGTGATTCTACAGCCTTCAAACTCTCCCCCCACCCGAATTCAAAGAAAAATGTGGCAACAATAAGTAATTTATATCAGTTTTCATTAAAACAAAAGATGGCTTATCCAAAATCAACCAAAGTTGCAGGGGGGGAATATGCTAATGTGTTATGACATCACATTTATCCACAGTTGGCATAAAATTATGCCGCTTGGTAAAACTTTCATGATGCGATAGTACTAAGTACCCAATGCATTTTTATTGCATTTTATGATAGAATAATGCATGTTCATGACATAATTATAAATCAAGTAAAAATTTTGTATGCGTATAATTCTAAGTATGAAAAATAGCTATTTTATTGATGTATCAGTTAATTAAAATTAAACATTCAGAACTGTAGAGAGACTGAAATAGAAGAAAACTGTATAGGTTTTGAAAAAGCTCTTTCACTTTAATTTACCGATTAAAAAAAGTTTTGAAAAAACATTTCTTAATCTGTAAACTAAGGTGAAAAAAAGTTTATAAATTTATCAAAATAATTGCATTTTAGGCAAGTAGAACTATGTGTGGTTATAATTTCTTGGAATTTTGTCCATAATTCACAAAACTTATAAAAATTAAGTGGTGTGCTTGTAATATATATATTTACAATTTCAGGTCCTGTTATAGCTTTAGAATATAATGGAAAAGACTGCATGAGTGTGTGCTTTGAAACAGCAAAAAATATTGCTACTGCAACTGGTTGTACTGGTCTTGTTTATGTTAGCACATGTCCCAAAACTGCTAGAAAGCAGATTGAGAGTTTTTTCAGTCATGCGGATATGCAGTTGTCTAGTCAATAAATTTTGTTCATATTTTGTTAAAATTGTGTACATATATGCTTTAGAACATGTCATATAGAACTTAGTTGGCTGTAGCTAGTCTGACCTCAGAAATGGAACTAGTTATTTGATATTTTTGTGACTGATGCTTATGACATGTAAATCTAATTATAAATTTATTTTATTTTTTATAAGATAAGAATCAAGCAATGCACTATAAACAGGTTTTTTACCAATGCAGTGTTAAGATTTCAATTTCTTAAATTCCAATGTATAATTTTAACTGATAATGTATATTATTGCAATATGGAATAATATCTAATGAAAGAGATAAATTTTATGGATATATTCTTAAATATATTTTAGTAAACTTAATTAAAAATATTTCTAGGTAATAAATCCAGTTTTATCCTACCTGCATAATGCAGTTTTTCTACTATCTTAAAGTTTTTATAGCTTTTCATTATTAAATAAAAATATATACGTAAAGGTTAATGTAAAACATACAGGTGGTTGCTATATTTTGAATTTAATATTATCTTTGAAATGTAAATAAAATTTTTATAAATTAGTATTAATCTATTTTTATTTTATTCTCACCAGGGCTGCTTTTAAAAATGGGATCAGCATAGCTAACAGTTTTTATTAGAGTAAAGATGAAAAAAAGGAATAAAAAATATTTTCCATATAGCAGTTATTGTTCCTTATGAAATTTCACAACAAAGTTCATATGTCCTCTTTTATTTAAATGGAGCTTAGAAACCTGCTGTTAATGGGCTGAGCCAAAAGGACAAGACGGCTCAGAGCTGTTCTTGTGTCAGACAGACCATAAGTGGCACGATTAGAACTAAGAGGAATCACAATGAGTCCAAGTCATTTGGTGATGGTTCACAAAAGAGCTCTGAGTAGAGTTTACTTTTTTGGTCCAGTAAACTACCATGAAGGTTGTTGGCTCTGTTTAAATAACAGGGGATAATAAATAATAATAATAAGGAAATAGTGAATATTTTTATTGTTCCATAGATTTAGATTTTATAAAACTTTTAAATTTTTCTTTATTAGAACTGTAGCATTAGTTAATAATTAAAAGTAGAATTTAAAATATGAAAGAATATTCGAGAAAATACTTTACCTTTGTAGAATTATAAATAAATAAATAACCTTAAGGTAATAAGTGCTTATAATAAAAATAATTAAAAATAAATTTAAATAAAATATAATTATTATGTAATTTCAAAGATGGATTTTTATTATGTATGAATTGTTTATGGCATCCAGTTCTTTAAAATCATAGGCCCATTGAGTAAAGACAGCCCGGGAGTCTAGATTCTAAGGATCAAAATGTTTTTAGTACATTTTAATAATAACACGCTAATGAGAAATTAACTTTTTTCAATTTATTATTATTATTTATAATTCAAATTATTGGGAAGAGCATATATGGTATGTACGCTGATGCATATAATATCAAATTTTCTTAAATGTTCTCTGCATCTTACTTATGAGTCCTAATTATTTATCAGATGGTTTATATTGCATTGCCATGTTGTGAGTTTAATTCTAGTCAAGTTTTTAATAGTGTATTAAAAATTGTTTGTTATTTTTTAATTTCGTTTATTTATTTCCAAAAGTAATCGTAATTTTATTTCATTAGAATTTAAAAGTTTTATATAACATGTAAAATGTATTATGTAAAACTAGCAAAGCTAATGCGAGATTTTTCTTTACTGAGTGATTTTCTCTGAATTTTTCAAAATGTACATTGTCTTTAGTAATTTCATTAATGTTATTTATGTATATAGGATTTTTTTAATTTTTGATATTTATTTATGTAATACTTTTTTAAAAAAAGTCATCTACTTTTCAGTGATATTTATTTATACTAAATGTATAGATTATTTATAGTTTAATCTGCACACTTTTAAGTAACTTTTTGGTTGAAGAATGTTTTTCTTGGGAAAGGTATTTCTAAGAAATGCATTTTATATAATGATGTTATTTTATAGTTTGTTGTTATATAATAATTTAATATGGTATATCAATGTAGATGCATCATATAATGAGTCAGTAATGTAGTAGATAATGTTTCATATATTCTGCGCCGTGGTTGTATGTGTGAATATTTGCTCAGTGTAAAAAATCAGAGTATAAAGATATACTTAACTATATTTAGTTATTTTATATAATGTATTACTTAGTAAGAGCATGCTCTTGTTATAATACAACTTCTATAAATTATTTGACAGTGTGTTATGTGATGTATTTTCTATTGTATTATTACACTACTGTTGTGAACATTGCTGTCATCTGAATCATCTAATCATGTTTATCTTTCAGGCTCAGCATATATAATCACTTTAATTTTGTTATTTGACTGCATTTTATTATGATACAATCCTCTTAAAATAAATTTTAATGTGCTGAACATTTTTTAAAATAAAATACCCCCCTCTCCCAAAAAAATCCTTTAGATAAAAGCTCCTCTCCTCTTGGTAGCTCCCATCATACAAATGAAATGCAAAATTCCATTGATTTTCACTGTTTTTAATTTTTGTGAAGTAAACATGAGTATTTGAAGAAAAAATATATCAAGTCAATCTTTTATTAGGTAAATATATAAATAATCAAGCATATTAAAGAAATATTATTCAGTATTAAAAGTTATACAAGAGTGCAAAAAGTAATTTTTTTCAAAAAATTAGCTACAGTATTTTCTTTGTTATATTCATAATTTATAAAATTTTCATTTCTACGAAAATAGAAAAAGTTATTTTTTCCTTGTTAACATTGATGCAGAAAGAGGAGTTTCTATTTTGTAAGATTGAATTTTAATTTTCTAAAATCTGAAAGTAATGTAATGTATTTAAATTAAGTACAAGATACCTCTTTTCTGGTGATAAATATTTTTCCATGTGTAGGGATAAAGCTGTGAATTTTTAATAAAAAAGTTAATTTCAATTAATTAATTGCATGTTGCATAATCAATCCAATAACCATGGGTTCCCCTTCCCCCATTTTTTTATCATAGACATTCGAAATTTTTCACTGAAATTATAAGGAATTAACTTATGTAATTGAGCAGTACTCTAACTTTAAGTAGAGAACAATTGCCAAATAAATCCATAAGTAATGTATATAAAAAGATGTTCTTAAAAATTAAATATATCGCATAAAAATTAATTTTCTTTAATTGTGAAAAATATCTTTATTATGATCCAAACTTTCAAATTCTGTAATGGTTAAATAGGATATTTAGATACTTTTATAGTAATCACAGTTAGTTATAAAAATTTTGAGTTAAAAATAGCAATAGTTATGTATTTACATTTTGTCATAATGTTTAGATATCAAAGTTTTTTTAACACATGAAGAATTTCTATTGTATTAACTTATATCAACCCAAAATTAAAAATACTTCTTTTAGCACTAAAACTGTTTTTTATTTAATTGTAAGAATTTTTATCCAGAATTCTTTCAAGTTATGTCAGACTTGAAAGGATATTGTTATGAATATATTGAATTGATCAAAAGAATTTAGCAGTCTGCTTAATTAGTAAAAGTTACATAGTCCATTATTAAAATTTATGTGTATACTTTTAACAGCTTATATAATCAAAATCTAATTTTTATAGAAAGCTCTTGTGATATTTTGAAAATTCTGTGTTTATTTAAATATTAATGTAAATTCCATATTTAATAATCTGAGGTCATAGGAAAAGAAAATATTTCACAAAGAAGTTGCATAATTCATCAGGTATTTTGCTGCTTTCTGTTGTGTAATATTTTTGGTTTTACTTCCCATTAATACTGATATAGCTAGTAGTTTCCTATGCAAAATTTATCATAAGTGTTTTGAAAATTTTTGTAAGAATTGTATTATAACAAAAGTTTCATAAAATTTAATTATATATAATAAATTGTAGTGTCGTGATATATAAATCGACTTTAGCATAAATGTGTCTTGGACTTTCATATAATTTGGTGTACAGAAATAATAATAATTCAATTTCATATAATTTAGTGTACTATATAAAGAAAATTACTTTCTTCCTTCATAATTTCAGTCACATGAGTGTAAGTAATGTTTGTAAGTTATATTATGTAATGAACAATATGTGAACCCCTTTGAATTCAATCTGTCATAAGGAAAAAACAATGTATTAATTGGTATTTACTGAAATTTTATTCATGGATTATGTTACGTAAATAAAACTGTTTTTAAAGTAAGGGGAAAACATTGAGTAGTAAATGTACAAAATTGAATTTTGCTTATAGTTTTCTAATTTCATTATTTGAGAAAAGGAAAGTTTACATTTCTTTTTTCCAAATAACAACAAGATTTGTTACTACAAAACAGCAATGAATTATAGGTTTTAATTGGGAGCATTAATGTATGTAAATCATATATGTATATCAAAGAAACTAAATATTTCTGCTCTTTAAACATTTCATTATTTGATTCACGTTTATACATCTATGAGATTTAAATTTTATTATCATAAAATATTTTTCCAGATTATATATATGTTAATTTAAAAGTATTTTTATACTTAATATGTTGTATTATTTCTGAGAAAAGCACATTTATTGAAATTAATCAAATCTTTGTGTCAGATATTAACTATATAAACATATTACATTTCTGTATGGACATTAATGTTTATGATGTGTTTGTTAATAATTTAAAGTAATAATGTAGATTTATGAAATTGTGTTTGTAAAAGCAATATAATTTTTTTAACTATTTGTTCATACCTTTGTTGATACAAGTTCTGAATTTAATTTAGTTTGAAAGAGAGGGCCTGCAATTTTTATTTCATGCCTTAGATTAAAATTTATGCTTGAAGAAGCATTTATTTATATGTTCCTGAATTTGGCTGGTTATAATATTGTAATGTTTGTTTCATTTAAATATTAAAAATACTCTTTCGCCCTTTCCCAATATATAGTATAAAGGAACAAATTGTTAATATTTACTCTGTTTTCTTCAAAGAAAAATGCTAAATAAATTAAAATATATTGGTTTGTAAAAAAATATGTATATATTATCTATTTATTTATCTCTGTTAAATGTGTATATCGCTTTAAAAGTTATAGTTTCAGCTGTAAGTTTCGTAAAATTTGTTTCAAGATACTTCACATAAGAAAGTGAAATGTATATTCTTGTGTTCCATAATACTTATATTTATGGCAATAATAAATCTGTTGAAATTTTAGAATTGTTAAAGTTGTAGATGCCAAATATTTACTGAAAATCATTATCCGTCCAAAGAAAAATATTTCTTATTAAATTACAATGATACTGATATGAGATAAAATTTAGATTTTTGTTAATTTCATGAAATTTCTCAGTTTTTAAATAACTAAATAGTAATAATTTATTTCTTTGTTGCATTTTTATCTACAAAACTTGTGTGATATATCTGATTTTATAATCTATAAATGTGATGTGTGTCATAGCACGAACTTGCAAGTTTTAAATTTTTCTATTACTGTTTTTATATTTAACCTTCAAACATAATTTTACTTTATTTAACTGTTTTTTATATGAAGAAAATTTTGTTTAATTTATATATGTGTGAGAAAAATTTTATTTTGAAGTATCATCAGCACCATCATCATCTCTGTGTAATATCTTTGATTGCATCCTTTTGTAAGATGCATAGTATTATAATCACAGAGTTCTTATAGCACAGACTCCTACCATTTCTTATATTGATTAACATAAAATTTATATACTATAAGGGTTTGAGAAAAATTATATATATTATTATTTTGTTTCATATATGTTAAATAACATTTGTTAACTTTCTTTGCGTTGTCTATTGTATTAATCATATTTAATAATAAATCATATGAAAAATGTGTCTGTTGTTTATTTATATGGAAAAGTGAAAAGTATAATCATCTTATATACAAAACCTGTTGCTTATTAAATTCATTAATTAATAAAATCAACCTCATATCACATTCAGATTTCTTGGAACCAAAACAAGTTGGCACATAGTCTTCGACATATGACAAATCACTTTTGTGATGGAGAGAAACTAAGATTAAAAATCTGAGAAGCAGTCTGAAGCTATCATGAATTTTCT